TTATGAAGTTAGAGGCGTCATGAAGCTTGAAGCGGCTCTGGTCTCTGTCATGAAGGGAAGAAAAGGAGACAATTTGTGTCCAATATCTGCAAGTTTTACAGGCTTTTTAAAACACGGTTGTTCATGGTCACCAAGAACTGACAGTGGAGAAAACAGTACGATCACATTTAAAGGGTAAAAGAACGTGTGATCGAACTCAAACTGATGAATGAACAGAGCCCAGCAGTGACGATCACATTTAAAGGGTAAAAGAACGTATGATTGAACTCAAACTGATTGAACAGAGCCCAGCAGTGAAAACCATGATCTGACGAGATGTGAGACTTTGCTTCTGCCTCGTCATTTGCTGATAATATGATTGCAAGTAAAATGCAACATGTACGTACAGCTTAGTTAATATACAGAAAAAACTATGCACAGGAACATCAGTCATCCTGTTAACATCTGGCTGAACTAGCAAGTGGTCTATTATAGATTAAGTATGTGACTGTACATACACTTAGTCCATAATACTTTTACTCTTTCAGTGGTGTGGCTTAGAAGGAACCAGTTCATGTTGCACGGCATCTGTTATTATATTTTGAGCGTGTTCAGTTCATAACAGTTTTTTTTTTCAGCCTCAGCGGGGCTGCAATCAGTGTTGGACAAAATGTCAATGATTTTTTTTTTCTTGTTGTTGTTTTTTTTTTTTTTAACTAATGTGATTTCAAACTACAGCACCATCGATTGAAACTTTATTTTTGGAATTTTTTTATTCTTCTTCTTAGATCGATTGAATCAAACAGTCCTGGGTCTAAAGGTGATCCATAACATCAAATGCTTTATCAAAACAAACAGAAACCCAAGTGAAGTAACAGCCCTTACTTTGAGATCTGAAAACCCTTTCATTCCAAAATGTCCTCCTCAACTTCAGTCTTCTGTGTGTCTGTGAATACATCGCCCTCTGCAGTTACACAAACATATTCTTCTTTTTTACTTTTGTGAATAACTTTTATACTTGATGTGACACTGCACAATACTTTTTTAGAAAAACTTTTTCTATCCTTTTTTTTAGACAAATAGACAGTACCAGAAGTATTTTTCTGTTGTTTGAAGATTGTGTGTGAATTTGTTTGTCATAGAGAATTTATGGATACAAAAACAACATTTTCTAATAAAAAAAATGCCTTTAAATATTTTATAACTCTGTGCCAAATACATTTCACCACACATCAGACAGCAGCTGGAGAAGCAGATATAAACAGTGTACACAATTGATTTGACAGCACTCATCTATTATGTAGTTTATTCAGCATCTATTATGCACCATTATTTTTAATGCGCCTCCTCCTGTTGTGTACTTACGTCGTGTCTCACTGCAGAGTACTTTGCTTGTTTACCTGTAAACATTCCTGCAGGGACCTGTTGTTTAATTTGTTGCAGGTTCGATACATATCACGGTTATTGCTGCGCCGCTTGGCTTTGTAACTGAAGACCGGCCGTGGTCGTCGGATCTGAGTGTTCGTGACCACGAATACGTTACGTGTGTCTCTGGGTCCCTCTGTGTGAATGTGTGTGTGCATTGATCAAAGTTTCTCCCGGGGTGAAGGTTTAGTTACTGACTGACAGACCTGTGTGGTGTTTGTGTATACAAGCAGGGTCAGAGCATGGATGACTGGCTCTGAAAAGAGGGATCCTGTTTGTCAAGCGCTGTGTTTTGTTGAAGCCAAATTAATTACAAATGCACTGGTGTTGAACTGGGAAGATACTGTTATCTCCATAATCCCCTTTGTATCAGCATGGGGTTTCTCCTAATTAATCTGTTGGAGCTGCAGCATTAAGCCTCACATTAATATATCACAAATATAAACATCTGTGGTGTAAAAAGTTCAGATATTTAGGGCCTTTTAAAAAAACATCTGCATGCTCAAACACTGAGACAGTCACTGTGGGACTTATCTGACATAAATTTAATTTGCTCCTCATCATTATAATTTCAAGTTATACTTCAGTGATTAACAGATTGTTAAAAACAAATGAAAAGCTAATTACAGGGACACCACACTGGGCACTAGAGCAGAAATAAATTCTTAAGCACAGAAGTTATGTTTACTTAGGTTTTGAATGGTATGATGTGTTATGGCAAAAAAAAAAAAAAAACAGCCCCAGATGCAGTGCAGAAAAAAAAAAACAGCCCCAGATGCAGTGTAAAATGCAGTTGGTTCCCAAAGACTGGGTCAGGACCCAAAGATAAAAAAAAAAAAAAAAAATCAGCCCCAGATGCAGTGTAAAATGCAGATGGTTCCCAAAGACTGGGTCAGGACCCAAAGATGGGTCAAGATAAAATTATCACGGGACGCCAAATTGTTTTTTCCAATTCAGATTTTACTAAAGATAGTGTGTGAAGTACTAGTATAAAATTTAATGATGTTGTTTAAATTTGCTATTGTGTGGCTTTTTAGTAAATGTAGCAAGTTGGGCTGCATATGAAATATAAGAGTAACAGCAAAACCACTAATCACTGCTCTATTCATCAGGCAGAGTCAAACCTGTTTTACATGAACTGTTAGAGGAACTTTGGATTACAAGCAAACTGATCTGATTAATCTGTTTGACTGTGATTTCTGTGATAACTGGAGGTAGAGGTGTTCTCCACCGTGTCTTGTTTATGACTCATTAGTTTCATCACGGTTACAACATACGCAAAAACGTTGTCTGTGGACGTATGAATGGAAACTATGTCTATGTCCTTTTTGGTCTCTCCCACTTCTTTTCCAGATGCCCCGCCTCTCTGTGATACACACCTTACGATGGGTTGTACCTGGCACAATACGGAGGGAACGATTAAATTCCTTTACAGGCATGTAGTCACACTTTTTTGTCTATGTCTTCACACCAGAACAAGTTGACACACAAAAGAAAAATTAAACAAAACAAACAGAAAACAAGGGTTTGGCAAAACCTGTGTGGAAATCTACTCACCTGCATGTATTGATCAGACCAGTTGTTCCACTGCCATCCAAACATTTATCTAGCCCTGGGTTAACATAGGCACAAGTCAGACACAGTGGCAGCGGAGTAACACTGTGGGGGTAAAAAAAAACCTTTACTTTAGGACAAAAGATAATGGTCGCCAATGTTGGAGAGGTCTTTCTGGGACCCCCTCTAGTGTTGACAACAGTTTAAGTCTCTCCTTCATCCAAGTCAGCAGACAGCTATGTGTAGGGAGAGGGTTCATTGTGACTGAGAAGATTTCAGGTGAAACTGACACCATGCTGCAGCCATTGAACAGAGGGCCTCTGTATTCCCTCTCACAATACATTACACAATGTAGAGCTGTGGGTAAGGGTCTCCAGACTTTATGTTCCGATGGGTGAAGCATCAGGCGTCTCTGTTAAATGAATATAATCTTAGGGTTGGCACAAAGCAGCACTGTTGAAAACAAACTGTAAACATTCCCAGGCAGAGCAGGTTGAGTGACAATCAAGTCAAAGAGGAAGTGATTTTCTTTCCCCTGTCTGGGAATTGTTACTATTTAATAAGTGTGCTTGAATCCAATCTTTGTCTCACTGATGTTACACTGATTTTTGCAGTTGATTTGAATTTCATAACTTAATAATTATGTAGTTAATCTGTTAAGTCTGGCTATTTTATTTGTATTACTTTTGTTCTGGCTGGTTATTGATGAAACTAAACATAATCATTTTCTTTGTTTTCAGAAAGAAAAAAACATTATCACCTAGTTTTTAATACAAAGCCCACATTTATGTATTTGGTCAGACAGAATCAGATTAAAGTACAAAGCTGATAAGTACACAATGTATTTCAGAGAGCAGGGCTTAAAGTAATAGACACTCTGCTCCCGTTCGATAGCCTCTGATGTGTCATGAAATGAAATGAGGGTCTGCAACACGATTACAGGAATCTCTGCTGAGGACACGCTCCAGGCAGGCCAGATAGATGTGGGGATGTAAATGACAATTTAGGGCAAATGGAGATGTAAATAAACATCAAAAGGCTTTCGCACAAACACAGAGGGGAGATTAAAAAAAAAAGGAGAAAGTGACGGCAAGAAAAACAAATATCTTCTCCCAGTAGGGATAATTACAAGACTAAAGACAGGAGATGGAGGACAGGATAGCAGAGTAATATGTCTAGAAATAGAGGGGGGAGATTCATTAAACCATCCAGAAGTCATCTGGGGAATCTACGGAAATACCGGGCCTCAGATTTCTTCGTCGGGTTCATACGAGGGGAACAGGAAGCATTATATTTATAATATGGTTTTATCTTGGTACCGTCTGATGCTTCTTGCTCTCACACTGGTGAAGTGCGAGTGTGTTCTCGTTCTTACACAGAAGATTATCTGCCAGAAAAGAAAAAAAAAATCCAAGGAGCTTTTTTGTGTGCAATATTTTGTTGCACAACAAAAATAGAATAAAATTTAAAAAATGTGTTTAAATACTAAAAATAACCAGCAGTATTTGTGGTACAAAAGCCTATAATATAAGATGATGGTAACCAAAGTTTAAACCTGTCACACAATTGTGATTGTACCTATAATATAAGATGATGGTAACCAAACCATTGATTACAATGATTTGTGTAAGTGCTACTATAACAAAGATATCATTTAAATGTATAGCTATTGTCATGTTATTGTTCAAATGTTATCTTCAAATTTAATATGTTATATGACGTGAAAGGTGGTTAACTTTCAAACGAGTCCATAGGATTAGCATAACAAGATTTTACTGAGGTTTCAAACTGAGCAAACAAGGCGTGTCCCCTTAATGTAGTGGAGCGACTCTCATCTACATTTGGTGGTGCCCTCTAGTGGTTAAATGTTACACATAGGCTAATTTTCTTGGGAATACATTTTTTAAATTGTGTTAAATGTCTCCCATGATTTCCAACCAGACTGTTGAATAAACTCCCAGAACTGCAAAGACTACTTGTAAGACAAACTGTATTTTTATTTACAGGCGTCTGTAGTTGGTACAACATTGACAAAAGTGTTGTACACTTGTAAGACAAACTGAAATAAAAATACAATGCTGATATAAACCAAAAAAAAAACAAACAAAACAAAACAAAAAAAACAATTTACAATATAAATTTAAATCAAACGTCAACTGTGGTCGTTTGATTAAAAAAACCCAAACTTATTTAATTTCCTTTACTGTTTGGAGTCGACAATCTACATATTTCACTTCAGTTCTTTATAGAGTGACGACGAAAAGGACATTTTTTCCCTTCTGTTTTTTACCCACTGTTGATAAGGCAGCTGACAGCCCCTGTAGATATATATATATATATATTTAAAAATGTTTCAAGTGTTTGTGAACTTTTCCTCTCCATCGTGAACTCACTTCCTGATACACCTGTTTGGCAGGTGTGTCTCGGTGCTCGCTGTGTTTCAGTCACAGTCGTAGCCGCGGAGGTTCTGAGTCATGAGAACAAGACGCGCTATGGATTTAACTTTACCGAGGCTTTAACTGCTTTTTCCCCACACAACGTGACGCGAGTGAAACGGTTTCCACACAGTAAAATGCGTGGACTTCGTGAGGGGAAAGTGTCCGTGGACGGTGTGCTGCTGCAGTTGTCCGTGCTCCTCTGTTTGGGTGAGTAAACCAGGCCGAAGTTCGGCGTCCATGTCGCTGACACAAGTTTTACCTCGAGAGTACTCGAGTTCACTTCGCGGACATGTTTGCGACTCACTTTGTTTATATTTAAATGTATCTATGATATTTATTTTTTATTATTTTATTTTGCGTATAACGAATTCAGTCCAGTGGTCAAAGTGAGCTGTGTAGCATGAACTTTAAAAAACAACAACAACAATCTTACGCCATTTTGACAAACAACCTGTGTTTTGTTTAACGTTTTAACCGTATAGACACGCCACGTAAGTAAACACACCATGCTAAATGTTTATATTGTATATAACTCAGAGTACTTTGTGTTTTTTAAATTATATTATGTTTTAAAATAATATAACAATGGGCTCCTGTCTTTAACAGGTCAAGTATAAAGTTCAGGTTTTGGGTGTCAGTTATAAAACCAATGGATTGCTGCCCAGAATTTCCGAAACAACCGCGAGGCTTGAAAATATCTAAACATAGCAAAAAAGAGATGTTGGTGAAAATATTATAGGTTACCAATCGATACCTGGCCCAGTTTTAAGCACCCACCACTAGGGGCATTACTAGATCAAGTCAACCATCCAACTAATACAGTAAAATTCCAAAAGTTAAATTCATATATTATGAGAGTATTAACATAGGCATCTGCTAGCATATTTGTTAGCATAAATCCAGATGTTTAAAGGGTCAGTTTTTTTAAAGCTCCTTTCTGATTTTCACTTTTGTGATTGTCATGTTTGTATTGTTCACCTCTACACTTTAGCTTTTTTGTGATTGTTTTCAGACTCACTGCGTGCTATCTTCTCTCTGTTGATAACTTTTGTGTCTCTATAGATAGCACTTGTCGTAGCTGTATGTTTCTCTGATGGAATCAGTGATATCAGTCAAAGATCTGAGAACATTCCGAGCAGAAATCTGTAAGGACAATCGTTCACAGTGTTAACGATTATGATAACTTTTTTCTGCAGCGTAGTTCTATGACTCAGTTGGTGATTCACTGCAGTATTCTGGTACAGCCCAAAAGGATTTTTTTACAGATAATGAATGGACAGTTGTGAAATGATCACCACACAGCGGCTCCCACTCATGTTTTTAAATGAACCCTCAAAAAATAGAGTTAGGAAAGTCGAACTGATTCTAACCAACTTCTACCACTAACTTGCTATTCAAAATTGTATGATTAATTACTTGATATTTTATTAATATCGTAATATGAGCTGCTGTAAAGAATTCTCTCTAATAATAACATAAAAATGGCAGTAACAGAATAAAATTCTAACCAGCCAATTATCTTGTGGTTTTCCGAGGATGAATAGGTGCTTTGTAGATTTTTTTTTTTTTTTGAATGTCACTTTAAGGTTGACATTTGCTTTTGTGTGAAATAGCCTGACAACTTGATAGATTTTCATGACCTTCGCTCTCCATTTTGACAGGCCCTAGATTATAATTATGTCAACTTGTGAATTTTCATTCTTCACCAACTTCAGGTCACAGCCTGTTAAGAACAATTCTATCAGAGCACATTCAGCACATTTGTCAACCTATTTGTGTTATATATTCTGTTTATTACTACTGTGGTTAATGGCTGTGTCCTACGCTCTTGACACTTTTGAGCTTTCTGTAGTAAAAAAAGAAAAGAAAAAGCACAGTAGTAACTAACGTGTATCAGTGATATCAGCAACAGACTTTGGAAATTTTATTATGGCATGATCACGTGGCACATTCTTGAAGCAGCGTATCATTTTGTTTGGATATATTTTCTAGCCCTACCTCTTACATCAAAAGAAGGCCAATGCAATTCAGCTGTCACTACTGAATATCACTGTGTGTTCTGGGTCATTTAGACATATAAATGTTCTGCTAGACTTTTATACTAACTTGTATGATACAACTACCAATCGGTATAATACCCACAAACTTAAATGCTATTGAAAATCAATGAAAATGTTCTTACCTTTCTGCAGTAACAAAGAGAGAGTGGTACAAAAATAGCTTTGCAATGCAAAGTGCAGATGCAAAAAAACACCACTAAGCAAAACACATCCAGGCTGTAATTCTGCATCACTGATCTTTTTTGTGTTTAATTTATTTAGGTCCTTGCTTAGTTTCCTGCATCACAGTTATATCTCCACCAGAGGTCCATGCATCTAGAGGAGACACCGTTACATTGTCCTGCACTTTTACGTCCACCAGCAGGCCCACCAGTAAAATGATTGTTGACTGGTCCTACCGGCCCCAGAGTGGAGGGCCACCACAAACTGTGAGTACATAATGACGCCAGTATTGTACAATTTACCAATTGGTGTTAACCATCCATATTAAATGATGTATTTATGAAGTAAAAAAGGAAACACTCTCCCCTGTTTTTGACAATCCCATCTATCTTATCTACAAAAAGTGTGATTTTATAAAAAATCTTTAATATTTCCTTGAATTTGTCAAAATGCATATTGAGTTATTATTTGCTATGGGCCGCCAATGTGGGCTTTCACTTTTTAGGTGTTTTTACCATGTGTCAACCCCCTATTTTGTGGTGAATATACTGCCGACCAAGTCATCCAAATGTTATTTCTACCATAGATTGTAAGATTGAAAGTTCATGGTGAGGAGATGAAATTATCACCAGAATAAACGCAGTACTCCCATCACCTTTCGGCACCATTTACGTATTTCCAGAGGCTTCTCCAGCAAACTTGCTGTTTAGCCACCTCAAGAAACCCCTTCCTCTGTAGTGGTAGCGTGGTCTCGAGATGCGTTCATATGTATCCATCCCAACCCATAACTGCACTCAGCCATCTAACCCCACACACTGTTGGTTCAGTCCCACTGACCAACTCACTACAGATGGACCACATAATTTATGCGGTTCCATTTGGACTTGAGGATGGCCATCAAGTGTGGTTCTGTGAAATTGCATTTTAAACATGGAAATCCATAGTGTGGTAGCTGCAACTCTATATGCCATCATCTCCTATAGGAGCACTCAGAACTAAGTGGAGGCTAATGTTTTGCGGCTGCGTTGATATGGAGTGCTGTTGGTTTAGTCATTAAGATGTTGTATGGTCTCAAATTGTGTGTTGAGGGAGGAGAAGAACTAAAGCACCCCATGTCAGAAAATGAATATGAAAGTGAGCGTCAGCAGAGAACATGTAACAAATAGGTGTGGCGACAGAGGATTTCCACAGTAGATCCCTGGATAGACATCCCCCTCAGCTAGTTTTAATGGTTTGTCACAAAGAAAAAACTTGAGAGTCTTGAGAAATAAATTGCCAAAGTGCTGAAGGTTTCTGGAGGTTTTTAACAGACACAAGGTTTTTTTTTTCCATTTGTAAGCCTTCATTTAATTTCCATCCAATTTCATTAGCAGTCTTGGCCTGTTTATTGGCCAGGATGTCTTGGTTGTAGATCATACTGGGAGACCATGAATAAGCATGTAAAAGGCTCCATCAGAAAATACATTTTTGCTGGCAAAGCATTAGTGTCAATCTGAAGTGCTGCAGTGCCTCAGTGGCTGGTATAATTACTTCAGTTCTGAGGAGGGATCATTTTGTAGATTGGAGAAGTTTATGTTGTAATTTCAATCAACCATGATCAGCAGCTGATGTCTAATAATTGTCACAATGGACAGTAATATTGTAGGAGAATGAAATATGCAGATGAGTTGAGATGGTTTCACAGCTTTGTTCTGACTGTACTTTGGAGAATACTTCTGACTCTGCAGAATCTTACTGAGTTTATTCAATGACTTGAAACTCCTGGACAGATCAGCTGTTCAAAGTCCTTAGAATGATCAGTTTTGCATTAAATACAGTGTAGGGATTCAACAGTTATTGTCCTGGTTGAATTTATTTACTAATACTTTCAGGAAAATACAGCAGAGATACAGTACTTTCAACTCTATAAAAAGGTCTAAACAACAGTGATCTTTTTATGGTGAATCATAAACAGTTTTGTTTTTACCTTAATAGTTCAGGTATGTTTTAAGCAAACCTAATGTCCCCTAAAATATGGGACGCAGTGTTTCTGTCCTAATTTTTAAGCCAATCTCTATTGCTTAAGCAAACCTAATGTCCCCTAAAATACGGGACACTGTTCCTGTCCCAATTTCTAAGCCAATCTCTATTGTGGTGTATTTTTGTTTCTGATTTCATTGTGTCTGTTATAAACCTGTTGTTAAAAAAATAAAAAATAAACGAGACACATCAGTGTTTGTGTCCCATTTTTAGGCCAGAATCTATTGTGGTGTATTTTAGTTTCTGATTTCTTTGTGTCAATGATAAACCTGTTGTTTGGAAAAAAAAAAAAGAAGGGTAAAGTTTCAGGGGCATGTGGTTTGCTGGTGTAATGAGGCACAGCATCCTGTGGGCATTGGGTTTCTGCATATTAAATGTGGTTGTGAATTTTTGACCAATGATCAGTAGTACTATTCAGCCACAGCAGCCAGCAGTAAATGTGCAGTCACACCTTAAGGTGGAATTTGGTTCGGCAGATGGAATTTGGTCCATGAGCCGCGAGTTGATCACCTGTCTATAGTGTTGCCATATGCAAGTATTGCAGAAAGACCTACTGTACTTGTTGCACTGCAAAACTATTTATTACAACAGTCGAGTTTTTACTTCTGCAATACAGCTGCTGGTTCAAATCTTCTCCACCTAAATGCAACACAGTTGACTCATTTACAATCCTCATGTCACTCTCTTGTCTCCACCTACACTGGCACCACAACTGTGACATTTCCGTTTAATGTGGGAGTAATTGGGAGCTGTTATGGAAAAATTAACGACCCAGGTTTTTTTTAAATGTAATTCCAGGTTTTTTTTTCCTCTCTGCACATGAGAATATTTTAACTTATCTCTAGACTGCCTTTATTAATTACTCATTTTAAATGCACAGAATTCTCTTCTCTATTAAACTGTTGCCAAATGGCAAATGTCTCACCATCTGTGCTCACCACCAGTTGCTGTGAACACTTCCTGTTCACTGAGTGAAGCACTGATGTAGAAAGTTTCAATTTTTGACATTTACTATTCATGTGTTAGGAGACTGTGAATCACACTCACTGCATCACCATAAATAAAAACTTTAGTTCGGTTTGTGTTACATCACTCCTGTTCTGTTGAAGTAAAATGACAGTGTTTATAGCAGTTCCTTAATTTGTGTCTCGGTGTTAATTTAAATGTTTTATTCAATATTCTGTATTTTTTTTTTTTCTTGCAGTTTTTCTACTTCTCTTCGCAAGCCTTCCTCCCATCTCAGGGTCAGTTTGCTGGACGTATCGAATGGCAAGGAAGTCCAGCCCGTGGCGAGGCTTCCATCTCTCTGATCAATGCCACGTTGAACGACAACGGAACCTTCACCTGCTCAGTCAGGAACCCACCTGATGTCCACGGGTCACCGTCGTCACACACTGTTCTGACAGTCACACCAAAATGTAAGGAGACCAAAACCATATCAATATATTGACATACATACTTTATAGTCTTATCACTGATAAATACATGACTATTTACCTCCTGTTGTCTTTTGAAAAACTGACATTGGATCACCCTGTGCTTTGTCCTGACCTCAACTATTTGTGCACATTTCACAACCTGTGGAAACAAAGGTGTGATCGAGACTTTTCCACTGCCAGCTGCACGTTCTTCCGCAGACTAATCCCAAACATATCCTGTCAGTTAGTACAAGCTTGTTGTGCTTTCTAAGATCCTGATTCGCGTGTTGGCTCTGCCTCTGCTGTCAACACATTGTCGATGACTGCAGGCAGTGACATACTTCCCTCTTTAGATCTAACTAGCATGATTTTGCATTTGATATTAATGAGATAGTTACTTGTTCTCCGAAACCCCCCTCATGTCAGGAGCTGAAACAAACAAACAACAACAAAAAAATGCACAAAGGAAGGCACAATGTTTTTGTTATTTTCTTATAAGTGTGGATCAAACTAGATCTGACTTGCTGGGTTAGCAGTTCCATGCCAAAACAAACAGCAGTGTGAATTTGCAATAGTTTTGTCCTCTTGAAAATAAGTTAATTTGACCCAAAGTGCATTATAGCAGTAAATATTGTCCTCCCATCTCTTGCAGCTATATTGCAAAATTTTTAATCTCCTTAATTCAACAAATTATTGAACGTCATCGACATGTTTATTTTGACAGCTTTGGTTTATGTTCCATATTCCTAAGATGTGTGTGCAGTATTTGACTGCATAATGAATGCTGTCACTGTATCATGTTGTGTTGGTCACGATAAACGGAAGACCTCGCCTTCTCCTCCACAGCTCTCAGCATTCGCTTCACAGATGTTTCCCTCCTGCTCTTTTTCATCCTCCTGCCCTCCGCTGTCATTGCCCTCATACTTATTGGACGGATAATCTGTCCCAAGAAAGAGCACAACCACTCAAAGGCCTACAGATCACCTATAGAGGTCACAGAGGGGTGAGTAAATTTATTCCTCCAATCACTGCCATGGCTCCTCGGGGAATAGCGATGGTCACCGAAGGCCAAGGTGGTCAAGGATGTGTGTTTCGCTCGGTAATTTGATGAGTCTTAAGTTCAGCTCTTACAATGTAAGTGCTGTGTCCATATGTTAAAACGCCATCTGTTTTTTTTTTCTGTGTATGTTTAACCTGAGAATGTTGCGGTTGTCATTACTGACCATGTTTTCGTCCACTTCCTCAGAGAGGAGTACACCATCAACCCATCAGTGGCCAGTGTAAAAAAGCCCACATGCTGTGATCTATATTTAATGGTACAGTACAGAGTTTCCCGTTATATCATAATGTCCAACATGCTATAAATAACCTTAATGAGAAATGCCTGCCAGATCTTTTTCACATGTTAAATTTTATATGCTCCCTACGCCTGAAAACCAGACTTGATGATCTATAAAATATTGATTTTTTTTTTTTTCTTGGGAGTTATTTTGTGTCAAGGTCTACATGACTCTATAGTCTAGAGTCTCTGTGCCTCTGTTGGCATCTATCTTCATCTGACAGCCTTCTTTTTTTTGTTTGTTTCTCCCTTCATGTCCAGGACTCAGATGAGGAAGATATGTACTACAGCACAAAACAGAGGCCTCCAAAAACAGTTGATGACGGCTATGCAGAGTCTCAGTTCTAGAGAAGCCTGCTGGTTCTAAAAAGTAACTGCATGTATCCGGTTCTACTTCATGGCACATTTGGGAGGTGGAGAATAGATATTACCGTGCAGCAATCCTGTCTTGTTGTGCCACCTCAGACACACAAACTTGTTATAATAGTTTTTAGTTTTTCTTTTTTTTTCTTTTTTTTTACATTATTACTTCCTATTATGACAATGTTTTTTTTACATTGAGACAAATCAGAATTATTCATCTCTGAGGCTGACACACCGTCTATTCTATTTTTTTTTTGCAGTCTTCCAATCATGAAATGAATATTAAATTTGCAGCTTTTATCCCAACAGATCCTTAAATGTAGGAGCTAATGGTTTTGATTGTCATTGTTTCTCTTCTCATATCAGTTGTCAATTGAACCAAACACACAAACACATGCACTATCTTTTCTTCACATCTTCACAGCTTTTGAATGTTAAACTTTTCTATTTTGAAGGAGTTAGATTCAATTTGTCTAATTTATGTTTGTATCATATTCAAATTTTTTTTGTAGAGAAAATGCCAAGTTTGATATGGACTATCGATCATCGATCATCTTTAATCACTCCGTGGTATTTATACCTTTATGTATTTATAGTATACTGCAGTCGCAAGTGTTGTGTCTGTACATTAAACAGCATTTAGTATCGTTCTGCATATAATTCTGCTGATTCACTTAAATAATTTGCCTATATAGTTTATTTTCTCTTGGTAGATTGGGTAAATTTCTAAAATGTTTTCAGCCAGCTTGTGCAAAAAGTAATTTATTTTGACAATTTATCTTCACTCAACATAAAGGGTGCAATTTGTTTGCCAAAGCTAATGGCAGGCAGCCGCTGCATCTCCACCGCTGCCTTTGTTTGCACTGTTGCACTATTCATGAATGGGTCTCCTCCACTATTTATGACGTTCCTGAACATTCCTTTTAAAAACTCCAAGGACTTGCCGGTGCCTCAGAGCTTCACTTGCAATTTTCCACAGCATCTGTCTCGCCAACGCAGTTGTGGGACCAGAGACTCTTATGTGGATCTAATAAAAAGCCGCCAATGAAACGCACAGGAAGTGATGAGAGACGGTGCTTATCGCTCGGCTCCTTTTCTTCTCTGTTGCTCATTCTTCTCATGCATATTACTCGGTTAAGTTTTAAATAATTAACTCGCTACAGTGAGACTATTATCATTCCTACCTCATCTAAAACTACCATAGCAACAACTTAACCTGTGGCTGGCAGAGAAAATAGTCTACCTTTTAAATTGATTGAATGAAGATATTGGGCTTGCGCTATAGCTGGAGAAATTTAATCCTTATATGTATATGAACAGTATGTGCTTGTGTAGAAAAATTATGCACACACAAATTAAACGCTTTCCATACAAGTTTGGAAAAGTCCAATATAATTCTTATAATATGACAAGTCCCATCTATTTGATTCTACAATACTGGCTTTTTCAGAGTGAAAATCTCACTTTATTTTATTTTTTCTATATGGATTGTATAGGGTTTTTTATTCTTTGAAAAGGAAATGCAAGCATCAAGGACTTGACTCATTGCCATGAGCAGAAAACCTGTGTGCAGCAACTTTTGCAGCACAATTGAATTTAGTCGTGGCTCTATGAAGGCTGACAGTTCTGTGAAAGTGACTGATGTGCCTCTTCGGCATAAAACCCAGAGAGGAGCTGCTGGGAGACATCCACTGCTGATGTCGGTGCTCCATCAGTCAGGTACTAGACCTATGTCTTTTTTTTAACCCACAAACTTATACAAAACTTATTGTTTTTACATGCAGTAGTGAATTGTGCAATTGAGTAATGCATGAAAACTCCACTGTCATATATTAGTTAAGATGGCCATAAGAAGCATATTCACATTTAAACTTCACAGATTTTTCCACAAGCGTTTATATATTTTCACTGCATGACTGAATATAAAATGTATAAATTATAATTCACACTCCGCATCTGGAGGTTTTTGGTAGCGGTTCTTATTGTAATCTTTGCTTTTCACTTTTGTTGTTATCACACCGTTGTTTAGCACTGTATATTTAATCACGTTTTCACACATTCTGCAGCTTTTTTACCTTTGCCCCAGTCTGTTGAATTATACCATCCTCTAATGATTGTTCTGCATACGTTTTGTTCTCTCTCTAAAAAAAAAAAACGGAGACAGAGAGAGTGGCTGCTGCACGATGCACCAAACTCGTATAATGCACTGGTGGAGATGATTTTCATGTAGTACTATTGCTGCAACATTAAAAAAGAAACACCTCAAAATATACAATGCACCAACTTTCTGTTCCCATAGGTTGACTTGCACATTTGCGCTACATTTATTATTTGCAGCACTTACAGTACAGTAGGTTTTTACTGCAGTTTATATATATAGTTACCTAGAAGTAGGACAGAGAACACTGCTGTGTAACGGTGCACTTTCAAACACAGAGGAAGACATACGTTCGTAATGTGTCTTTATTGTGGTGCATTGGATTGAAATGTTACTTTTTTTTTTCCATTGTCCCTTACCGAACGTGTCCCTTTTTTTTTTTTAATTTAAACATAATAATAAGTCACAGCATTGAGAAGAGATGACAGCCATTGCAGCAGCAGCAGCAGCCCACACTGGTGTGCTGCCAGAACATAGTGTACAGACCATACCTCCGACGTTTGCCTAAATATTGGCAGGACTGTGTGACATTATTGATTCCTGTGGTCTGTACAGCAACATATTCAGCTGCTTAAGCCAAGAATCAGATAACTGAACATAGATTAGCATGCTAAGACGTGACGATAAGGAGGGCAGCTACATTTAGGTTGGGTCAATGAGTCAGCTGTTGGCCGTCCTGCTGCAGCTGCAGATGGATTATTTCCAAAGACCAGCCCACGCTCTGTCTCAGATTCTGGAGACACCTTAGACTAGACTCAGACTGATTTGGTTTCTGAAGGTTTTGGATTTTTACATCCATCAGAGAACAGAGATTTCTAAAGAGGGTTTTAAATTAGTACGGTAACAGTTTAGTTTGTATAAATACGTCATTACACTGCAGGCCTTAGACAACAGCTTGTTTATTTCGCCGCAGAGGCTCAAACAGTCGATCAAAGTTGCATTTATTTTACTGCAAATGCACCCTAGTTTAATCATACCTTGCACAAGTCTTGGCTAATGATTGTCGTTCTGATGTGTGGATGAATCTAGAAAGAGATGAACTCTTGAGAATGTATTGTGATCGTGATCAAACGCCGTTGCAAACGGGATAATTTGAGGAAGCACAAAAAAATCTGCAGTAGCGGGGAACCAATGGTGGTCCAAGAAAAATTTAGCAAAGCACATAAGGATGCGTCATGTCTGTTCATAGAGTTAAAGTAATGCAGACAAACATCTCTCATTGTGTGACGTTACCGATGAGTCAAAAATGGAATATTTGGCTGTTTGACAAAAGACAGGGTTTATTGGAAGAGTGCTGAACAAGATTCATGATTCTGGTCCCGTTGACGACCACTTATGGAAATAAGCCTCATGTTCGTCTTCCAGAAAGGAGGCATGGAATTGGACAGTCGATGATCTGAGGTATGTTAATGCTTGGTTTCATCCTTCTATACTATACAGTGCTGTGTTTTTTCTTGTTCTTCTTCCTGAGTTGCGGTTGTTGTCTCTGTACAGAATGCGGCTCTGCGATGGACCAGTGAGCTATTCAGTTGGAGTTGCCCTCTCCTGGTGACAGCTGCGATTGCCCCTATGCCCCAGTGTGATATCACTGTCCTCTTTGACCCCAATCGGATGTGAAACTTCTGGCAACAGTGCAGGTACATACTAATGTCCATATTTGAATACAGCACATGGTGCAGTACAATCTCAGGTCCATCAGACCTACTCTACAGAGTATGTTTTCCTGAAACATAATAATAATAATTTCTGCCTTTATTTTTGCCTTTACGTCAGTCGTTTGAGAGATGAGTTCTCAGACAACCTGTTCAGAAAAACTTAGTTCCCCTGAGCAAAGCACTTATCTGCTAGTTATCCCCATAGAGTGCTCTAGTGGGAACAGTGAAGTGGCAGCTGAGGAGTATGAATGCACACGTCTGTATAGAATTCATGTAACGCAGCACTGTGGGAAGATGGTGCCTGCTCAGCAGAACATTCTGACGCCGCCTGTGTCATACAGCCCGTGGTAGGCCACGATGACACATAGTGATGATGTAGTACAGTCGGGTAATGGTGCCGGGTTTTCCTGTGTGGTAGCAGTTATCACCGGGAAAGCTGTGGCTCAGAGGAGGAGGTTAATTATTTCCCCTCAGTGAACTGGAAGTGGAATAATCCTGTGAAAGAGAAGAATAGCAGAACATCACCCCTGAGAAAACACAACCCCCCCCCCCCCCCCACCACCCCCCCGCCGTTACATTGCTGTGTACCCATCATTCCTCCCTTCATCCTCATTGTGTCTGTGTAGCATCTGCTGCTGCTCACCTGTGTACGAAGGGGAGGCAGGGGGAGGAGGGGGAGGAGGGGGAAAGGTGCAGGATCGTCAGGCACCTCCTCAAGAGTGTGTGTTAACAGATTGAAGAAGTGTGTGTCTGTGTGTGTGTGTGTGTGTGCAATATCAAAGACAAATATAGAGTGTGGGCGTTTGCATGAGCATGCGCCTGCCTGCTCCGCTGTGTGACAATGGTTATAAATGAAGTTGAGGTGGAAAACGCATGTTTTGCCCAATAAGCGAGACTGTGTGAGAATGTGGCACGGGGGAGGCAGAGAGGGGGAAAAAGGAGGGGAAAGGGGAAGGATAGATGCAGTTTTCTTCGCCTGCCTGCCACACCCAGTCCTCTTGCCTCCTCCTCCCAACTTAATCTCTCCCCTTCCTCTCTCTCTCTCCCTCTCTCCCTCTCTCCCTCTCTCCCTCTCTCCCTCTCTCCCTCTCTCCCTCTCTCCCTCTCTCCCTCTCTCCCTCTCTCCCTCTCTCCCTCTCTCCCTCTCTCCCTCTCTCCCTCTCTCCCTCTCTCCCTCTCTCCCTCTCTCCCTCTCTCCCTCTCTCCCTCTCTCCCTCTCTCCCTCTCTCCCTCTCTCCCTCTCTCCCTCTCTCCCTCTCTCCCTCTCTCCCTCTCTCCCTCTCTCCCTCTCTCCCTCTCTCCCTCTCTCCCTCGCTCCCTCTTTCTCATACACACCATCATCCCCCCCTCTGCTCGCTCTTCTCGTCTATCTGTTGGTGTTTCCATGAGAACAGAGAGCGCTGGGTATGGGGGTGGGCGGGTTGGTGGTGCGGTTGACGTGTCCTAAGAGCACATTGTGTGCATGTTTGTGTGTGTGTAGCCTGTGTGCCTGCAGATCATCATTGCTCTCTTTCACATTTCTCCTCTGGCAAATACCGCTCCCGGCTTTGCCAGAAAACCTGCTTTTGGCAGCGTTGTGGTGTTGTGGACTGTGGAGTTCACAGACTCACTACAGTGACGTGTGTTCCTGGATGTACAACACCGAGTCAGGGAGGCAGACTGTGAAGTCTGAACCCGGTGAACTGTCCCCACAATCCAGCATAATTAAAACTATATCAGGTGAAATGTTGGAGACCTCCAATCAGTTCTTTACTGGAGAGCCTTTTTAGGGTGGGGCTGCATCTTTTGCTGGAGCCTCGCTGACGGAGGGGGAAAAGAGGAGGAGGAGGAGGAGGGTGTGAAGATGTAGAGGAGAGTACTGATCTGAAAAAAGGTGGTGGGGTTCATAACTGTGAGTGAAAAGAGGGGAGGTGGGCTGAAGGCAAGAGGGGAGGGCTGAGGGGAAGAGGGTGCGATGGCAAGGGAGGGGTTTAAAAGGGTGGGCTTCAAGTCATTGTCAGGCAGAGTCAGAGAGAGAGAGAGTGAGAGAGAGAGAGAGAAAAAATCAGAGAGAGGGAGAGGTGTGCCAGGCAGACCAAGTAAAAAGTGTGTGTGTGAACTGGGATGAGTAAATGCACAGAGCAGCTTAGCTGTTGAAACAGCCAGAGAAAGAGAGAGAGTGTGCGAGAGAGAGAGAGAGAGAGTGTGTGAGTGAGGGAGAGAGAGAGAGCACAAAGAGAGGGAGAGAGAGGGTGAGAGAGAGAAGAAGTAAAAGGGTGGAAGAAGCAGAGAAGAAAAAGGGAGGATACTACAACTACAACTATGCTGTGCTGCATAAGAAGAACCAAACCGGTAAAGTACTTTTATTTCCTCCGTCGTTCATTTTGTCTCTCTTTTTTATATAAATATATTTATTTACATGATGAAATGCTGCTGCTCAAGTGTGAACTTTGAGACTTTTTTTTCTGTGGCGACAGAACAGAAGGCTGTAGAGGAGAGGAGTCGATAGGTTGGTGTAATAACTTTGAGACTTTTTTTTCTGTGGCGATAGAACAGAAGGCTGTAGAGGAGATGAGTCGATAGGTTGGTGTAATGTGCTTTGACTCCAGGCCTGGATTGTCTCGACAGAGAGCTTATCCACTGAGCCTCAGACACGCCTAGTTAATGTGATTATCCTGAATGAAGGGACGATGCCAGGCAGGCTCTCACACCTCACGCTGTACAGTCAGAGTAAAACTGCAACTTTAATCCTTCGGGTGTCCGGGTGATACCTTTTAGTGATCGATTGATTGCTAAAATGTTTATTGAAAAAGGCACTGAGAAAGACTGAATCTCTGTTTGGCCTCGAGGGAGGAATTGCACCTTCAGTTCTTCTGTGCACCTGAACTCACCACAATGTCCAACTGCTAATCTTTCATTACATTTAATAGGACAAAAAATGTGGATTTCTCTGAGTAACACTGTTTGTCGAGCTGTTGTGAATTCTTTTTTTTTTTTAATACTTCTGATCCTCTTTTTTTGAGCAGAAAAGTAATTTTCAACAGTGAGGAGAAAATGGGTGGGGTAGGGTCTGTGTGTGTGAACGGCACCATCATGTCAATAGCCTTAGGGGAATACAGTGGGAATAAATGGGTCTAAATGGATTATTATAGCCCTCGAGCTTTATAAGTGGATCCTGTCAATGGAGGGTATGGTGAAGAGAGCACTCATCCAAAGGGTGTGAGAGACCGACGCGGGTCGGGGAGCCTTTTTAATAATCTACGGCTATTCTCTCTGGGAATATAAAATAAAACAAAAGAAGGTGTTGCATGGAAGTGGGTGGGTGGGTACGGGGAGTGGAGACGAGAAGGTGGCACTCACTCCATTGTACTCCAGAAAGCTATGGTTTTGTGTCGGATCCTGGCTGGAGAACTTGTCACTATCCTGAAATAATGGTGATTTTATTGGAGGACAACAAACACAGGAAACTGAGTGGATTTGATTATTATTTAAATGTCAGCCTGCATGAGTCATATCAGCCCTGCTGGGGAAGAGAGAGTGACAGAAAGACAGACAGACAGGCTTGCCAGTTTGAGACCTGCAGGGAGAGGAGGATGCAGAGGGGCAGGTAGAAGAAAACGTGGTGTTAGGGTGGAGTGTGGCTAGTGCACATGGAGCTGGATGGAGAGGATGGAGGTAAAACCTGGTTGGCACAGAAAGAGAGGTGAAAAAAGGAGTGATACAGGGAGGTAGGCTGGGGGGATGGTAGAGTGAGACGGACATGCAGCAAAGCAGAAAAGAAAAAAAAAAGGCAGTAAATGTAGACGGAGGCTACAACCGCCTGTGACGGTGATGGTGACAGTGTGACGGATGGTGGTCGGAGGAGTTGAGCAGGCGCAAATTTGAGGAAGAAAGGAGGGGGTGGGAAGCGAAGAAAGCATGCTGCACACTGCAGCCATGTGGGTGAGGCACCGGCTTTTTCTCCACAAAACACTGCCGCTGCTTGGAGTCTGCGCAAACCCAACACAGAGAGAGGGAAAAAAAAAAAGGGCGAGCATTTATACTGCTGCACCTGCTTTTCACGAGACGGGGAATCATTGAATCTGGACACATTCTGCAGGTTTCATGGACAAACAGGCAGAGGGCCGTGGTGTCTGCTACAGAGAGGGAAACGCTTCCATGGCTGCTTCATTCGTGAAGCACTGAATTGGAGTAAAGAAATGTGTAAATGTCAGGTGAAAACACTGTCAAGCCCAGTTTACGTACATTACAAATCATAGCAATTATTCTTCGCTCGTCCATAAATGTCCACCGTCGATGTTTTCCTCACAGCCTCGAGTCCCACTGAGAGACCGTGCTCCTCCTGAAGGGTTACTTACCCAATTAGATTTAATTTAAGAAAACGATTCCCATTTATACCGGGGCTCTTGTTGCCCTCATTGCCCTCTCGTCAGAGCCCCACCCCCGTCACCATGTCCAGACCCAGCCTCTTTCCTCCAGCTCTCGTGCACGTCCACTCACCCCCTTCTCTCCCACCACAACCTCTGCCTTTCCTCATCCCCTACCCCTATGAGATCAGTGGTGATTGTGTAGTCTTTGTTCAGGCAGAGAGCCGGCGTAATCGAATTAAAGGCTGCTCCAGAGGATGTAATGACGCTGGCATGTGGCTGCTTATTGGTTGCTGCGGTGCTTTTTTTTTTTTTCTTTTAAGAGCTGTCGTAAAAGAAACAGTGCATTCTTTACCATTGCTCATCAATTCACTGTCAAAGAGAGGGAAAAAACGAAAGCAGGAGGAAGAGGAGAAGGAGGAGGAGGAGGATGTGAGCGGGGGCTGTGGCAGTCACCACCTGAGCCCCCCTCTACTCTTCTGCAGGAGATAGCTGGCTAAAAGGGTGTGGTGCTCTGCTGTGCCTGTCTGTGTGAGTGTGAGGGAGAGAAAGAGGAGGAAAAAAGGGAGTCGTGGCCGGCAGTTTGACCAGTGAGGGGAGAAAATGAAAGACAACAGAATGAGGCAGGAGGTTTTCACCAGTCAGAGCACCCAGACATTTGATGTCTGAAGGATTCCTGCAGAAAAAGACAGACAGAAAGACAGACATTATAATCATGCTGTGAAGCTCAGGTGATGGGTTTCCTGGCCTCCAGCAGAGCTGCTAAAATTACCTTTCTGCTAAGCTGAAAACCATGCTAACACAATCAACCCGAGAGTGGTAATTGCCGCTGCGTGTGGGTTGTTTTTTGTTTGGTGGGGTTTTTTTTTTTTTTTTTTCTTTTAAGAGCTGTCGTAAAAGAAACAGTGCATTCTTTACCATTGCTCATCAATTCACTGTCAAAGAGAGGGAAAAAACGAAAGCAGGAGGAAGAGGAGAAGGAGGAGGAGGAGGATGTGAGCGGGGGCTGTGGCAGTCACCACCTGAGCCCCCCTCTACTCTTCTGCAGGAGATAGCTGGCTAAAAGGGTGTGGTGCTCTGCTGTGCCTGTCTGTGTGAGTGTGAGGGAGAGAAAGAGGAGGAAAAAAGGGAGTCGTGGCCGGCAGTTTGACCAGTGAGGGGAGAAAATGAAAGACAACAGAATGAGGCAGGAGGTTTTCACCAGTCAGAGCACCCAGACATTTGATGTCTGAAGGATTCCTGCAGAAAAAGACAGACAGAAAGACAGACATTATAATCATGCTGTGAAGCTCAGGTGATGGGTTTCCTGGCCTCCAGCAGAGCTGCTAAAATTACCTTTCTGCTAAGCTGAAAACCATGCTAACACAATCAATTAGAGGATATTACTCTTTATTACTCACTGAAGTAACACATACAGTGTAGAATATATCCAGCAGCTGCAGGGCAATGTAGCTCCACCACCACTAATGCCACTACTATATTATAATAATACCTACTCTTGCCACTAGTGGCATTTGATCCCAACCTGGGGCACATGGGCGAAAGAAAAAGGAGTGCCCCGCTCCTAAGTGGGCCATGCCTTTTTAAAGAATGACATGATTTCAATGCCTGCTGTGTGCATTAGAGTGAGCTGTGGTTTGGTGGTTATTCCACCAGCATCGTGTCTTCTTCCTCTATTTCTCCTCCCTCCACCTCACCCCCCGCGCTCCCCCTTTCCTGAAACAAGTCCCTAATGGCTCTGGCAATGAGGCAGTGCGAAGGTGGTGGATCGTTGCTGTGTGTCACCATTGGGGGATGGTGTGTGTGTGTGTGTGTGTGTGCGTGCAGTTATGGATCTGTCGGTAAAACCATTGACTCTGGGGTGTGGTTCTCACGACAGCCGGTGCCCACCCAAGGACAGAGCAAGGCAGAGGGAAGAGAGCGAGACTGCGGCCAACAGGCGAAGCTCTAATAGACACGTCCAGTCGTCCGATACTGTTCTGATTGGTCGTTTGTTATCTTTACAGGCCAAACAGACAGCGATCTGTCCCTGGGTGGACAGCTGTGTCAAAGATAACCAGGGATTCGGTGCAGATTTAGATTCAGATCGTGGTTCTTTAACTACATGTGAAACAGTGTCAACAGTGGTTTTCTTTTTTTTTCTTCTAAAGCAACAGTTTAGTGTTGCTTACTAATATTACAGTCTAGCTAAATTTTATTTTTATTTTTTATTATTTGCTAAAAAGTATTTATCTGTTTGGGAATGGAACCAGGCCTGCTGCATGGATAACATTTGACTTGATAAAAGGATCTTCACTGGTGTAATGTGGCGTATCCATGGTAACCAGAAAGGAGGTGTTCACAGAGGAAACACTGAGGGCTGTTGGGAGAAGTCTCTTGATAATCCTGTTATGGCAAATATCTCTGCTAATTAATCTAAGGAAGGTGTGGAGCCTGGGTGTGAAGGGTGTGTGTCTTACAAGATGTGCTACACCTTTAGGGGGTGCTGATGTATTTATGAATGAAAATGTCTCCTGTGCTGCACAGAAACCTGCGTGACTGCAGTTAAATCCAGGCTTTGCTTTTGCGTGAAGACATCGACCTCAACATTGTCCATGAGATGAGATGTTTTTAATGTGTCGTGTGTCAAATCTGGTCGTGTATCACAATCACGTTTGACAGTCGTAAATCTTACAGTCAAGTGACAGGAGTCAGATAATCACAGCGCAGCACTTTTTGAAAGATGACTCACCGACTGTCAATAATTCAAATGATGCTTCTTCAATTGTGGTCAACAAACCTTGATGGTAATCGTCCCGTCCTGCCGTCATACACCGATATGAGATCACTCTCACTTGGCACTCTGCTGGGATTTTATTACATTTGCACTCAGACACCCCCAAATAAGTAAATGACATCCCCCTGTTCCAATAATGATGTCATACCATTCCCAACAACATCATCCATCTCTCCCCCTCTGACTCATAGTTTGCAGTCATTCCTTTTAGTGTTAAGTGCTCGGGTCAAAATGTTGGCAAATGCAGGCACCTGTGAGATCAGCTTTAGTACCTGAGACTCTCATTTGGTGCCAAGTGCCAGTCTGTCGGCCTCCGTACTTTTTTTTTATCACGGTTAAAAGCTTGTTTAACTCCAGATACAAATCTCCCTCCTTTAAATGAACTACTTTACTCCAATATTGTAGAAGCAACGTGAAAAAGTGTTAGCGTTTTAACGGAGGCCCATTTTTGCCAGGCCCCTGCAGTTTTATTGTTTTTTCAATATTACACAGCCTGAACCCCAGAGGCGGTGGAGAATAAAGGTGGAGGAGGTGAATTTACCAACACAGCCACACTGTGACCTCGCTGCTCCAATATTGCACTGACACACTGACCCTGAAGACGATGTGTTGGTTTAGGGCCTGAGGCTCTTAAATCATGTCTCCTTTCTGTGATTCCTCTCTTGGGCAGCTGTCCAAGTCAGGCCCAGCGTCTCATATATAAAACACCAGACGAGGGGATTAGGAACAGAGATACGGACAATTTCTGCTCAATTTCGACGACCTTAAATTTGTAATGAAGGTGCACGATAATATAAGTTGACAAGTGGAACAAACACAAACACCCCCGCCTCCTTTTTGCACTGCACATATACAACCCCTCCTTAGCCATGTTGATTACACTCCCTGATTTATGACTTTCTGTTGGCCCACTCCGTTGAAGGGTCAGGTACACTGCCAATCAGGGTGACATATAGTCTTTCATCGCAGCAACCATTCGACAGCGCTGTGATGAGTTAGCACTCTGGTTGTCAAGGTAACCTTTGATGGCTGGGAGGAGTATAGCAATGAATGTCGAGGAGAACCGAGGCAGTCGGTTACCTAGCAGCCAGAGACGGAGCTTTAGAATGTTATCATATCTCCAGAACAGAGATGCCCTCATTAAATTTCGGAGAAACAGCTGGAGGTTTCAAACATGCATGTCGTTTCCACACGCAGTTTGAAGATTTGGCTTCTTACAGAACGCAGAGAACACTGCAGAGTTTTTTTTTTTTTTCTGTTTCAGCAGCTTTATCTGGAGGACTTGAACAGCCGTGTGTCTCGACTAATATAATCATCATTAATATTAAAAAAAAAACAGCCAATCATTTATTATCCCTGAAAACTAATGTGCAGCTCATTTATTATGAACGGAGAATCAACCCACACACATATCTGTTATCCTCAGGATTATCCACGGCTGTAAATGTCTCCTTTTTAAGCTCATGGACTGATGAAATATTTAACATCCACAGAAATGTCTCAACACTGGCTTTTGCAGATGCAGAGAAAAACTGAATTTTTGCTATTAAAAAAAAAAATCATTCAGATTTTGCTGTTTTTACATCTGAGTCATTTGGCTCAATGACGCTTCCCTGCTCACATTTGTGTTTTGTGTTTTGTTTTGTGTTGCTATTTCACATCCCTAATGGTTTTGTAGGGAATATTTTACACCCTGATTTGTTTGCCAGTTTATTTTAAAAGTACTAATTTCTTTTTGTTTGCACGTTTCAATGATCACCATTCATTTCTTGATTTGATTTTCTTTGATTTTCTTTTCATTAGATTTATTTGAATGTTAGCCCCACCCTCTATTTGATGGACAACCATGGAACCAGTTACCCAAGGTAATATCATGGAATGTTATTTTCTGTCCTCTTCTCTTATCCCTGTATGATATCCTACCCTAGTACAAATTAAATCCTGAAAGTCCCTTTGCTTTAGCAGTGTTTTTTCTTTGGTTTCAAATTCCTCTTTCTGTTTACTTTGACATTTTCACTCATTCATATTTTCTGCATTTTTATTTACACTAAACTACGTGGGAGTATATGGATATATACTCATCGATGAATATGTTACAACTAAAGACAAACGTTTTGGCAATGCAGTCAATATTCCTTTTCTGTGAAACATTCAACTCACGACATATTTAACCAACTTTATGCAATGCAGTCAATATTCCTTTTCTGTGAGACATTCAACTCACATATTTAACCAACTTTATTTTTTTACTTTTTTTATTTGTCTGCCAGGTGGAGAAGAATGAGGATGCGGACCAAAAGATTGAACAGGATGGCACCACCAACAAACCCGAGGATAAGGCCCACAAGGCTGCCACCAAAATACAGGCTAGCTTCCGTGGACACATAACTCGGAAAAAGATGAAAGGCGATGAAGAGGAAAAAGATGGAGACAGTCCAGCTGCTGCCGATGAAGCAACAGAGGGAGGAGAAGTGGAAAAGAAAGTAAACGGAGAAGAGGCACCCGCCAAGGATGAGGTGGCCGCAGCGGAGGAGCCCAAGAAGGTGGAGGAGACGAGCCAAGCCAAAAGCCCCGTGGCGGATAAAGCTGCCAACTCTCCCGTTGCTGCCGCTGCTTCACCTGCAGCCACAGCAACATCTCCTGTAGCGGCTGCCCCTGCTGCTACCTCTCCTACGGCTGAACCCCAAAAAGAGGAACCCAAACCTGAGGAAAAAGTTGAGGAGAAGCCCAAAGAGGTGGAGGCCCATGTGGCGGCAGCCAAGAGCCCCACCACAGCCACGGCCGAGGAGAAGAAGGAGGAGGAAAAAAGCGAAGAGAAAAAGGAGGAGGCCAGACAAGCCGACGTGCCTGATGCTGTCAGCACGACAGCAGAGAAAGAGGAGACCAACCAAACGAATGATAAACAAGGTAAAGCACAACTTTTAATTCCATTCCATTCTAAACCATTACAAAAACATCGAATATCTTAAAGAACGTAGAACAAACTTGCTTATTTAGACACAAAACCTACAGACATTTCTGAACCTGACACTTTAGTTTTTGTTGGTTGGTGTTACAAAATGAGTTCAAACTCTCTGCAAGGGGCATCGTGTTTGCACTAATGGTTATATAAACAATAATAAACTGTTAGCAACGGCCTGCCTGGCTCCATCATTCACAGGTTAACACTGAGATGAGGCTCAGTATTAGATTAGATTTGTGACTTGTCTTACAGTCAGCTGTGTATTGATGAGGTGTTGAGGCGGGAGATTGAAATACTGGCACTGGTCTAAGAGCTATCACACACAACAGGAGCATTTAATTAGAGGAGGACTGCGCCGCTGTGATCTCCGGCTGGACCGGAACAATCAGAACATAAAAGATATTTGTTATTATTATTAATTCATATTTAATGAAATATAATATTACCAAACTAAATACAAGAATATAGTAAGTTTATGAGTATGAAATTGGTGCTGATTTCATAGATGTCAGTCACATTTAGAGTAAAATAGAAGGTAAAACAAGATGGGGGCAGATCTGTGGACAACAGGTCTGTGACAGGTGTAGACATTTACAATTGTTGTTGTCCGTAGCCAGCCAGCTAGGGTATAAACCAATCCTGTTTGACCAAAGACATGCGGCTCGTGATTGTATCGTGTCTTTGCGAACGTGGGTATTTTTGGGAGGGTCTTAAAAATGAAACCGTTGTTTGGGATCAGAATGTCAGGTCAATAAAGTCTCCAGCACCGACATACTGCTGTCGTCATTTATGAGACAGCGCCGCCCTCGTGGGTGGATTGATGATTCCGTATCTCCACCTCGCGCTACGTCAAAGCCGCGTTAACACATCGATAACATCTTTGTCTGGACCACCGCTAACAATTACTGGGGTTTACAACAAACAAAACCACCAAAGGATGGTCCAGTATAACGGAGCGCGAAGAAAAATGAAGGTCATGAAAAAATACAGCAACACCAATAAATGTTCTTCAGCACCACGCACTTGACATGAACCCATATTTCTGGTCCAAGGACTCTCAGACTGGGGCAGACAGGTAGTTAATGGAGCATGCTCAGTCTGGAGTGAGTGGGTGGGTGTAAGGTGGGGGACACACATGCACACACACACACACACACTGACACATACACACCACACACACACACGCACACACTGACACATACACAGAGAAACTAGGTCATCCAAGCTGCACTCTCCTCTCCCTGTTGTCATAGTTACCTCCTCGATGGGATAGTTGGCCTGCATTAAAACAAAGCAGTGGTAACAGGTGCTCTGATTTTAATGAAAGATTAATGATAGTCACTGGTTCCACTCCCTGCCAGAGAAGTCCGCCACGAACAAACAACACTGAGCTCCTCATTAGCAGTCCACTGCTGCTGGCCACAATCTGCTTTTGCTAACAGAGCCGAACTCGCAGAGATGATGAATATTCACGAGTTAAGTCACTTGGCTCGAAATTAATATGTCACCGGCGCAAGGTCGGCAGGTGCGTGGCTGTGAGTAAAAAAGTTTATTTAGTGTGTTTGATTTAGATTCTTAATCAAAGGTATTCTGTTTTCACTTGACCTAAAATAAATGAGGTTAGATTAAACCCTGATGAGTCCCAGTACACCATTTTTCAATATTTACTTTTTTGTAGGTTGTTTAGGTATTGCTGTTGACGTAGTTTTGTATTATGTCAAAAGTAAAATCTGAGATGACAGAAAGTCTTGGCAGGGGACACTTGGTTTAATTGCATTTGTATTACACCCTTCAATGACTGCAGAGAACATTTACTAGTTTGTCATGCTAGCTAACTGGCTAATTACCTCTAAGTCCCTATGAGTCATGCTGTATTGAGTCGTATGAACACACACACACACACGCACCATCACAGCCCTCTCCAGTGCAATGATGTCATTCCTTTAATGTCTGCCCTGTCTATTAAAAGAGTATGAGATCACCGCTTCATGACATCACCGCTCTCTAGACACATGAACAAAAGGGTTGGGTGGGACAGTAAATTGAATATAACCTAGTTGTCTCTTACCGCGCCCTACTAGAGTATCACGGTTCTTAACGTTTCCAGAAACAGCACCAGCGCTAATTATTTACAGCACCAAATGAAATGACCCACGCCTGGTACCAGTGCAGGGTTCTTCTGGTCGGGCGTTGCAGCAGATTGACATGATGAAATGTAAAGCATCAAAGCCAAACATTTGATAAGTGGTGAATTATAGATTGCGATCGCGGGGCTATTAGAGTTAGCTACACCGCGTGCAGCAGGCAGAGCTACCGCTGGTAATGTTAGGTTGTCTTTATTATTTACACAGCGAGTGTAGAATGTCAGCCATTATCTCTTGTATCCTCTGACTGACCTGAGAATTGTCCTTTGTAATATATATATATATTTTTTATATCGTGTTATATTTCCTCCTGTCATGACCCGACAATGAAGGTGTTTTTTTTAAAAATGTGACACATCATCAACACAGCTACTCTTAAAACCTTAACCTCCATTCATGTAGCTAATGATGTCTCTTTTTGTCCTTCCTCCCAAACCCAATACATTTTTTTTTATCATATCATACCCTTTTTTTGCATTCTTTTTTATTTTTATTTTCCTTTACACTCGCTCACCCCCTCTCCCCCCCCCTCCCCTCTTTTTTGGCTCACTGTGGCTTTCAGATGCTGCAGCTGAATCTAAAGCAGAGGAAGCCACCCCTGCAGACGGAGCGGCAGAGGCCACCGAGTCCAAGGATGACTAAGGCCAAGTCAAACTTAACGAAAGCAGAAATAAGAGTATGAAGAATAACACAAAAACAAAAATCTAAAAGGTTGCTCTTTGCCTTCCTCAGTAAGAGGGCAGTCCGTTTCTATTTGTTTGTCATTTTTTGTGTGGCAATGATTTTCTCATGTTGGGGGAGTTTCCAGCGTGAAGTTTTCTGGCTCAAGCTAATAGTATGAGAAAGTGCTGGTGATGATGATGTTGTTAATGATTGTGTAAAATGCTTATAATGATAATGATGATGATGATAAAGATGATGATGGTAGGGAGGTGAATTTGGTTAGATTCATCTTGACTATTTAATGTATGTGAGTTATCGATGGAACCGCTGATCCCAACTGGATCATCACACATTTAAAAGGCTTTGCCAATGCACACCACACTTCCTTTGCATTGCAATGCACTTTATTTGTCACATTTCACAATTTTGATCCGTTCGGCAAAATGCACGCACAAAAGCAAACCGGTTTTTAACGCAACCCACGTTCTCGGTAGAACACAAGTGACCCCGAGAACTCAGCAAAGTAGTTGAAGCTCGAAGAAATTGGACGAGAATAGAATGTATAACTAAATGTGCGACCTCTCCAGTTGGGCAGCTTTTTTCATAATACAAAAAAATCCACGTATATACATAGGAGTGTCACTGTTTCTCTGTTCTGCTTGAGGCATTCAAGCCTGGTTTACACCCATTTTAACAAACTCTCTGTTTACTCACATTTATAGCAAAGGACCTGTTGCCATTTGAATGACTAGATCATATGATAAACTATAGAAATCTGCTATAGTATTTATGTAACTCGGCTCTTACATGACAATTTGTGTTCTGCCAACCAATCGTGAGAACAGTAGCATGAACCATCGAACCAGATGCATGATGGGAACTCTCCCTCTGAGAGGAACTTTTTCCGCAGTCACAAAAACGTAAGAGGTGTGGCGGCTTCTTTTTGATGTCTTTGGTGTTGTTATGACAGTTTATATGAATTGGAAAAAATACTCTTGCACTGATGTTATGAAAAAAAAATCTAAAGAAAATCAAACAAATGAGCAAACAACAAAAAAAAAAAAACTTTTCCTATGTTTCAGTGAGTGCAATGTCCAGTTTCAACCTTATCTAAAAGTTCAAACTTGTGAGAAAAACATGAAAAAAATGGTTTCAATGTCTGTTTTCAAAATAAAGCAAATGTGCCAATTACCACCATAAACTGTGGGCTTCATTTAAACTCACTAGTTGTTATCCAAACTTTAAAAGTACCTGTTCAATACAATTTGCTTCCAAAAATGTAAATACATTGCGACCTTGGTTGCTGAACAAACCAACGATGTCACGCGGGCAGCAAGTGATCAGTGAGTGTGTCGTCAGTCTTGCCTCAGCCGGTGCTCCGGACATACACGGTGTGAACTGCTCTTTGATTTTGCCAGTATTTCTTGCCTTGTGCGGAAAGAAAAGTAGTGAGAACAACAATAGAAGTGAAGAAAGAGATTCTAAGAAAGCATGAGAATGGCGCTCGTGTTCCAGATGTGGCTTTACAGTATGGTTTAGCGAAGTCCTCAATGTGTACCATCATTGAAAACAAGGAAGCGGAAAAAGAAGCTATGGATGCCACAGAAGTGACTGTGATCATCAAGCAAAGATCTCAGACATTGGAAGAAGTGGAAAAGTTGCTACTTATTTGGATCAACGAAGGGCAGTTGGCCGGCGTATTTCGTAGACGATAACTTGCAAAGCGAACCTTGTGCAAATACGACTCCTCAGCACGGGTAAGGACGAATGAAATTGCCTTTCCTATTTATAGCTTTATTCTTGTTTCAGTTGTGTTTGTTGTTTTTGTTAGATCTAATTATTTTCTTTAGTTTCGTGTATGAACCTGTACACAAAATACTGTTGAAAAAGTTTGAATAAGCAGGGAAACAGGAACGGATTAATCCACGTTAATTAAAATTGTATCAGTTTCGGTTAACGAACGACCTTCAAGGACGAATTAAGTTGGAAAACTTGGCTTTTTAACAAAATTTTCTAACAAAAATTTGAACAAAAATGACTCAAAAATTCAGATTTTGACAAAATATTTAATAGAAATAAATTTCTAAAAATGTTTGCTAAAATCCCTAATTTGATGAGAAACATGCAGGATAAGATGCAATTTTGAAAAATAATTTTACAAAGATTTGAGTCAAAATTTGAAAAAATTTGACCAAAATGAAACGAAAATTTTGGATTTTGACAAAAGATTTAATACAATTTTTTAAAAAAAGAATCGTCTCTAAATGCTCTAATTTGATGATAAACATACATGAAAAGACAATTTTAAAAGATAAAGTTTTTTTCTATCACAATGTTTAGTTTTTGACCAAAAAAATTACACAAAAAGTTCAGATATTGACGAAAAAAATCTAAAAAATAAGTTTCTAAAAATGTTCTGTGCCTGCCTGAATTTTATGAGAAACATACAACAGACAAAATTTAGACAAAAAGTTTAATCAAAATCTCTTAGTTTTTCACCAAAAATGAGATGAAAACTTCACATTTTGACAAAATATTTTATAACAAAAAATTTCTAAAAATGATTTCTGAAAGCCCAAATTTTTTGAGAAACATGCACGAAAAGATAACATTTTTGAAAAATAAATGTACCAAAAATGACAAATTCAAATTCAATTTTGAATTTTATACAAAGAAAATTCTAAAAATCTGCAAAATGCAGGATTATGTCATAAAACATGCTGTCAAGCGAATATTTTTGTATTTATATTTGTGTTTAAAACTAAAAAAGGCATGTTTTGGGTGATTTT